GAATTGTTTTACTTTCTTTTTACAAATATGTAGTTAGAGACATATCTTTAAATGCCCTGTGCCTCTCGTAGTTCTCTTCATCAGAGAAGGGGGTAAGTAACCATTAGTGACACTTTACCTCGGGAGCAGATAAAAGTAAACTCAGTTAAATGATATTCCTTTGCTAAAAGAGAACTTAGTTGTCTCATAAATCCTGCATGAGGGAGCTTCCTTTCTGTCAAAAGTTGATGTTTCTTCTCAGCTAAGTAGAGACTTCTTCAGGAGTCTTAGCAATAGTGGAAATGACCCCTCAGCCATACCCACAACCTGATAACATCCTGTCCGTAACTTGGGTGATTAAAAGAAGACATATCAAAATAACCATTTTTCTCTGATGAGGCTTAGAGAGAAATGATTTTAAAAAGTCTCCCTGTAAAGAAAAGACTACTTCGAGGAGGAACGGTGACCAGACAAGGGTGGGGGTGGGCAGGAGCAGGAGAGCCAGCAGTAAAAATAAACACAAAGCCATGGAGAAGGTCAACAGGCCAGTGTGAAACACAGGCCATCCGATCACTCCAAACACCCTGGTCTGGGGCCTCGGCTGCTCCTGCTCTCACACCGGCATGAAAACGGTGTGCATGTGTGTACCAAGTGGTGTGTGTCTGTACACACAAAGATTTATCAGAGAGCACAGGGGGAATTAGAAAGTGCCTGGCCTGGTTTTAATTTGAGTCTGTTTGCTTGCGTTTAGCACTTAAGGGCCTCTACATTCCGCTTGCTCAGAAGAGTGATGGCGCACTCCTTGCTTGTGCCTCAAATCAGAAATGCATGAAGTGCAGCTGCAGAGATAATACATTTTCCCCAAAGGCTTTGGCTGAGCAAATTAGGTGTCAATGGGGTGCCCGCGCAGGCAGTACTCCCTCTAATTAGTCTCTTGAGCCTAGTTGGTGGCGGGTATGAGATGATCTAATCAATTGGTCTGTGTCTGATGGTCGGTGTAAAAATCCTACCAGGCAGACTCTCTCCCACAGGTCACCCACCTACACAGCACGACTCCTCATTTTCATTTCTCATCTCCTCTATCACATGATGCTGACAGTTGGTTTTAAGAAAATTGAATCCAAAAAATATCTAGTTCAGAGGGCTCATGGGTCAGAACAAAGTTGCATTATGGGTACCAATGATTCAATTAATTAATATTTATAGCTGAGAAGCTCTATGTAGATACTTCTGAGTAAGGATTTTATCAATCGAATCGTCTTTAAAACACTCATTTTAGAGAAAGCTCATTGTGGAACCCAGATAAAAACGGCGCCTACCTGCCTGTGATTTACGCACTAGGATTGGCTGTGCGCGCGAACCATCCATCCAGCTTGTCCTCCGTGTTCACTGTTCATTTGCATTTTGCGTCCATTGTGCTTTATTAACAACCAAATGTAAGGGAGATTTACAGTCGCATTGTTACTTGCCTGTCAAAGCAGATCTTCATTCCTTCAGCCTAAATCCCCACCCTGTGAAATACCTGATTGCACTTAGATTCCTAAAAATGTTTTATGTGCTTTCAGTAAAACTTGAACCTAACGATGCCCAAGGCAAGAGAATGAGCATCCCGTTTTCTGTAAAAGCATTAGGCAGGAAGATGGTGAGATATGAGCTATTCAGAGTCATCACAGAGATGGGAGGTGTGCTGTCATGGGCTCCTCCTCTGTTTTGTTTTTTTGTTTGTTTGTTTGTTTGTTTGTTTTGTTCTTAGATTCTTCCACTAACTGTCAGAACTCAAAAATAAGCAACGGACTTGACCATAACGCCTGCATTTATCACTTACCAGCCAATTATTGCTAGCATGTGACCCTTGCTATCTAATTCTGCTACACCTTCGGTTAGGCATTTAGGATTCTCCTAGAGATTTCAGTCAGAGTCAGGTCAATGCAAGACCAAATAGACAGTATCAGTGTGTAGAAAACATCTTTAATGAACTCAAGAGGATAGTAAAGTGTATGGTGTTAACATGACTTAATGTTATGTGAAGTAACATATACTTGAAATCAAAACATTCCTTTTGAATATAATATAGTAGATTAAAATACTGTGTTTTCCTATACCAAAGAATAAATCCTTCCCTCTATTCCTGACTGACTGGTGGTGTGTCTGCCAATAGCTTTCTTCTCTATATCGGGCCAAGTGAGCACTGTGGCTGAAGTAGCTGCCTAGTACCAACTGTCGCAGCCACAGGAAAGAACTGTTGAGCTTCGGGGAGTGCGCCATTCCTACCCATCCCTGTGCTTTCAGATCCTTTCTTCTCGTTTACAGTTCTTAATCAACCACTTACTGTGTGCCTGGGTTATGCCTGTGCCCTGCTCTGGGTACACCTCAGTTTAGTCGCCAATGTAATTATTCCCCATGCATGGAATAGAAAGGGCATCTCTGTCATCTGCTTAATAGAAAGGTCGGTGTTGGTAGTGAGATAGGAACTGGGCAGGGGTGCTTGGCATCAGAAGTGTTGTGGGGATACCGTAGGGTCACATGCTCTCTCTCCTTGAACAGGACCTCAGGAAGAATTTTCATGCAGAGCTCAGAATGTGTGCTGACGTAACAGTGCAAGGGAACAAAGTGCATTTTCTCTACTTCTCTGGAAAACAGAGGAAGAGGTGGGCTGGGGATCTAAGGGTGTTTCCATGCCATTGCTTGCACCGTGGTTGTGACTTCTAGAAGAGACTTAATAAATGTATCTATGAGTGGAAATGAGGGGTGAATTCCTATGAATAGGGAATGCTAGCCAGAGCAGCAAACATTCGAAATAACGTTGGCTGAGTTGGAATTTGGAGGTGGGAAAGGACTTCTGTGCAGTGTCTGTCCAGCCAAGGCCTCTCCAGAAACATGATTTTCAGCCCCTCCACTCAGGTGGCAGAGAACTCTCAAGAACAGAAGGTGATCCCGACTTCATGCCATACCCCAAATATATGAAAGAACTGAAACTGCAAGAGATCATAGAAGAAAGCATAGGATCTAATCTTTCGATTTCGCTTTGCATTTTTTAATGTGACACCAAAAATATAAGCAACGAAATAAAATTATGTCAGTTGAACTCATTCAAGATCCGAAGTACGGTGTCACTGGCGATCCATACTAGAGAGTTATTCAGATTGTGTATTTGGTGAGAAATTAATGTCCCAAGTGTACAAAGAACTGCAGCTCGGCAGCAAAACAAAATGAATTATAAAGTGAGGAAAAGACTTGAAGAAACATTTCCATATGGCAAATAAGCTCATTAAAACTATGTTCAGCACCACTAACTATTAGGAAAGGCTAATCAACAGAAGTAAGTCAGCCATCACAAAATAATTATAGTTTAAAAATAAAGAAATAACAAGTGTTGGCAAGGGTCTGGTGAAATCCAAGCATGCCTTTACTGTGAGTGGGAAGCTAAGCAGTGTCCTCACTATGGAAAGTTTTGTCATTTCTCAAAACTTTAAAAGTTGAATTTCTGTTTGATCCGGGAGTTACACCTGCAGGTATATAACCAAAAGACTCAGATCTGGTATTAGAGCAAACACTCACCAGTTTTACAGCAGCCACAGGGTAATACAATTCGAGTATGTGTTAACTGATGGGTAAGGACCATGTGATATAGCCATATAATGAGACATTACCTTAACATTTTATAAGATAATGAAGTCCTGGTCCATACTACAACATGGTGAACCTTAACAACATAATGCTAGTTGAGAGCTGCCAAATGCGACAGATCACACATTGCCCGACTCCTCTCAGAATACATAGCTCCATACACAGTCAGACAGTTGGTGCTGGTCAGTGGGTGTGGCAGGGGACCATGCGGGTGGCTGCTAAGAATGGCATCGCCTCCTTTGAAAGTGCTGAGATGTTTTGAAACTGCATAGAGAAAATGGTTGTACAGAATTGTGGTTGGACCATGTGCCACCCAGTTATATATCTTCGGTTGGTTGGTTTTGTGTTATATGAATTTCATCTCCATTAAAAATAAAACTGAAGGTGAGGGCAAAATTCTAAAACTTCATCAGGGTAAGTGAAGATCAGTGGAGGGTAGGGGTGATGTTGTTCTCATGTATCTTTAAGTATAAGAATGGAACTTCTTGCTCTCTTGGTTCATAAACTGCTAGTTCCTACCAGGCAGGGAATGTCCTCAATGGAGCAGCATCAGGACAAGGGTCTCTGAAATAGTCAAATCTATGGGGGCAGCCCTGGGTAGGCAGGGACTACGAACAAACTTCCAAGCTTACTTGTTCTGGGGTGAAGGAGAACTGAAGCATCAACTCCTTCAACTGTGGGGCTTGACCTTGAAATTAGACCCACTAGATGTCCTCTTTCCTACCCAGAGTTCAACAAAGATGAATAAGAGCATTTTTTTAAAAGTATGGAAAGATGTGCAAGGAAGATTCCCTCATTTGCAATGACAATCTTGCCTACAGTGGGGTCCCAGTCTCAAGCCAATGTCTTTGGAAGCTTGAAGGTTTGTGCAGAAAGTCGAGAAGGGACACCACATTGGCCAGCTTCCATTCTGGTGCATCTACTATAACTGATAATATGCAACCAAGAATTACATGGCTGGGTTTTAAAGGCATGTGTGTGATCCACTTTTCTCTTTCACATTCATACAAACAAACATGATGGTCTGTCCTTCGAATGCTCTGCTGCCCCCACACACTTAATTCAGACCAGCACTACCTCTGATAGGTTAGGGAAGGAATTTAGTTGGGTGTATTTATCTCTAAGTAGTCTGAGAGGAATTTAGCCCATTTAAATGCATGGACGTACAATGTTTCAAGGGAAGAAAACAGTCAGGACATTTGTTTATCATATTTAAGAGATGTTTTCATAGAGGAAATTGTTCTGCCTCCAGTGTATGAGCTTGGCGGAGCTGCGGAGAGCAGCAGTGGTTCACTCCTGCCTGACCAATTTTAATGCCTCAAGCAATCTAGTAAAAATGAATGATGTAAGGTTTTTTTCTTAATGCAACAGTTTTTCTCTTTTCCTTCTTCCAGGATTAAGTTGTCATCATTCTGGGAAGAAAAGGAAGAAGAAAAAATACAAAAAGAAAAGACCGCTAATGAAGTGGCCCACAGTGCTGGGCTCCTGGACCAGTTCCCTTCTGCCCCCTGTGGTGGATTTCACTTACAAGAAAATTGAAACTGGCAAGACCCTGTTTTCTCTGCAATTTATTTAAAACCTTGCACGCATTTGGATACCTTGTGATTTCCAAGAACTATGTGAAGATTAAGCTTTGCTTACTGATACATGGCATGTATTCTTTTCAGTCTCTTGTGTTTGATTCTGTTTGATTTCCCTCTGCTGCACAGTATCTCTGGGAAGGGGTTTTATGCTTTCACCAGCCATGTCTTAAATACATTAAGACAACACATTTGGTGTTCACACTTCCTCTGTAATGTCTGCACTTGAAAGCCACACAGTGGCATGAAACAATGTGTGTTTTCTTTGAGAACAGAATACATTCTGCAACCACCAGGAAGGATATTCTTATTGCTAAAACAAACCCCAGGTTCTGACTGACTAGACACCATGGTCCCAGACAGCTGGACCTGACGACCTGTTGCTTACCTTCGAGGACATTTGGAAATGTGGGGTTTCCTTTTTTTATTGGAATTGTCCCCACATTTATAGGCGCCTAGAACTGCTTCGCATCTTCAATGGCACGGCTGTTTCTGAGCAGGCCGTGCCTAGAGAAGCACCAAGAACCAAGACGAAGATGAAGGCCTCCTCCTCCTCCTTCTTTTTTTTTTTTAATCTGTAGAAAGCAAGTCAATTTTTACATGTGTTCTGGGTCTTGTCAACATCTGATTTTTTTCCCCCATCAGCTCTGTTATGCTCTGTGTTTTTTAACTGGAGAAAATAGTGAGGAATATCTTTCTTAAAACTTGGGTGCAAAAAAAAAAAAATCTATCTGTCAGGGTGAGTCCTAGGAGCCGTCTTTGCCAATTAATGCTTAAAAAGCAAGTTTAAAAATTATCTAGAGTTAAAATTTTGCTCACTCACAACAAAGCACCTTTGAATCGGATTGTTCAGACACATTCCAAGCCGCTCAGAAGGCACCGCTGGGTACCAGACTTTAAACCACTCTACCGTAATAAGTGTTCAAACTCAGTTCTTAAACAATGCGGGAATTTTGCTTTAAAAATAGAAATGGCAAAGAAAGGCCTGGATTCCCTTGTTTTAAGGCACTCTGAGGCCTTGGAAGATGAAGGCAAGTCTGTGTCATGGGGAGAGAGGACTCTTCCATACACTGCACCTTGGTCTATGGGGAGCTGCCCAGTGTAGGCATCTTCCACGGGCAGCCTCTCTACAGAATCCCAGTAAGGAGGGGCTGGGGGCAGTTAGGAAGCGTCACATAAAGCATGCCCTTTGCACCTCTGGACACAAATCTCCATGGAAACACACGTGTGCACATTGTTCTATGTTCTACTGCTCCTGAGAAAAGGGAAGAAACTACAAGCTTGAGATGTGTCACACATTAGGATCAAGATGGGGAATTATTATCCAATTTGACAAGGGCTTTCTGATTCCCGAATGAGTATCAAAGCCAGTAGTCAAACCCAGCATGTCCCTGGAAGTAGAGCCCGGTTCTTAAAACTCTCAAAGGCATTGTCTCTGAGTGATAGGTATAACCAACCGTCCAGCCTATCCAGAAGGAGAAGTACTTACAATCTCGAAAACACAAAGCAAGGAATTGCTTCCCGAATGGTTTGAAAGAAGAAAGAGTGTCTCTCAAGGTGACCCCGTGTACTGTTTGCTGCCTGGGAATCATTTTCATACCTCTCTCATACATTCCTTCCGTGGGAAGTCTTTGCAGGTATTTTGACTTAAAGTATAATTAAATTGGGAGTTCTTTAAGTGAGGAGAAAACTTTCCATGTAATTAAAAACTGCCTCCCCTGTGCATTGCTTAGAATCCTCCATTCATCTGGGTGGCAGGGAGGAGGCATCTTGTTTATATTTCACCACTCCATGCTAATGTTGGAGGGTTTCGAGTAAGCAATGTAAAGGCAACTCGAGATCCGTGCCCTTGTCTAGACAGCGTCTCCTGGGAAGGAAGGCATAGCACTGCTCGGTGTGGGGTCTGCCCCACGTCAGGCCCACCTCTCAGGTTAGAAGGGCTTCAGCTTCATGTCCTTGTCAGCAAGGAAGGACATCCAAAGTGTCCCCCCAACCCAGCCTGGCACAGTCCTATCCCACATACCCTGCTTTTCTCTCCCACCCTCTCTGAGGGTGTCATGATAATCCGTACAGACGGCGCCCATTAGCATGTGAGTACACTGCTGGGAAAGCACCACAATACTCGGAAGATTATTTTTCTATGAAGGACTTGCTTGAGTTTGGACAGCTGATATTAGCACGAACGCCTCGACGTGGTGATTGTATCAGCTCAACCTCACTGCACACAGTATTTGGAAAGGAAGTATGGGACTCGGTTTCCATCTTCTTAAGGGGAACAGCTTAATTAATTAAGATACACAAGACACATAGGATGCAAAAATGTGTTTGCTGTGCTAGACAAAGAAGTAGAGGGTTCTGAAGCAGGGGCAGTTGTCTCCTACCGTGCAAGGACCAGAATCTGTTTCTAGCTCTTAAGTGACTAGAAAACCAGGACCTCTTGGCGCCCTGTCCCCTGTGTATACGACAGCCACTGTAATCAGTACCCTATGTATGCGTCCATAGCAGACACCCATCTGTGAATAGTACTGGTTTGTAATCTTCTGTTCTATAAGAGGATGTTTAGGTTGTACATACTGGGGTAGATCGCTGCCTGCCCCTATACATAGAAACATGCTGCATATATGTGCATAGCTTCCTTCTCCATCCCCGGCTTGTACACAGGGGAAACTGTATGTTAGTCTTCCGTTTCCTCATATACCAAAAGGAAAAATTTTAACTCTCAAACGAAATAGCAATTTCCTCTTCACGCTGCCCCCTCTCACAGCAGCATATGTTAGAGGCACATATTAAATCACACTCTTTGTGAGTGGACTTTCAGGTTTTTCTCATTTCCTATTATTTCTCCCCCCCCTTTGTTTGTATGAGGCACTGAGTTATGTGCTTTCTAATGGGGTTAGTACCTCAGATAATCATTATGCTTCAACATGGCACATAGCAAGGAGAATGGAACTCTACATGTTGCATATGTGTTGCCAATTGTAATTTGTCTGTACTATGAAGGATGTAATGGTTTGTCCACTGTCATTGTTGTTTTCTGTAACATGATATGGAATAAAGTATAGCCAAATCTGCAGATGTCATCTTGGTACATAGCCTCGTGTGTCCAAAGCAGTTGAAGACTCATCACGGTTCTTCTGAAAGAGTGACGTAAGAGATCAGATGTACAGTATATGGGAACAAGTAGGTTCCTGGAGGATTCTAGAAACCCTCCAAAGTCTTCCCTTTTCTTTCTTTGTTGTGCCAAATTTGGAGTAGAAACTCGGGGGCCCTGTGCTCCAAATCTGTGAGTTGCAGGGCTTCCCCTGGCCCTGTGCTTGTGTTCCCACATGTTCCCCAACTCACACATCTGGAGCCTCTCTTATTTGTTGGTTGCGCTCATCTCAATCTTTTCCTCACGTCTGTCTGGCCTTCCACATATCCTCATGTGACCTCATGTGTCAGGTGAGTGGGTGGCCCTCCCCAACAGTCGGTCAGACTCTGCCAACATGCTGGGAAAAGCTGGAAGAGGCAGTACTGTTCTCATAGGCTGAGCTAGTGTTATCTGTGACACTACGTAGGCCCACGTGACATACCTGGGCCCATGTGACCAGGATGGTGCCAGGAGCCCACACTTGGATATCAACAGCTTGGGAGATGCATCCTTTTCCTTTTGTCACCTTGTTGGATCAGTCACAACCCCAAACACACCCACATGATTTCACAAGTTATTAATGAGAGTCATGGCAGATTCAGTTTTCAGTGTACAGAAGGTACTTGCTCATTGGAAAGTGTTTGCAAGGCTGCATTCCATCTGAGACGACCAGGACCCTCCTACACCTCAGGAGCAGCTGATACCCCTTCCTTTGCTCTTCTGTAGCCCTTGGGTTTTCTGTTTTAAGTCCTCCATAGGCCCCATTTCCATAGTTAAATAAAACCGTTCTTAGCCTATGTGTATTCCATACACACATGGCTCCTCGGCCCTCAGCTGCTTCCACTGCTGTCTTTAAGGCACAGACGCACCTGGGCAAATTCGATTTGAGATCGTTGCTACGTCACCACCTCTGTAGGTTGAGATAGGGTTCTGTTTACAGGTGACCTTCACAATAACCAAAGTAGCAATAGTTTGCAAATTTGGGGATCCATAAGTTACTGTGGAGAGCAGCCAAAGTCACATAAATGTAAAAAGGATAACCTGTTCTAGGGAGGAGTTTCAAAGGAGCCAAGCAGAAGGCCCTCTTCACTCTGCAGCAGCTCTGTGGCCTCCGTCGGGAGTCCTTCCCAGCAGCCTCGGCAGCTAGCGTCCATTGCAGCTCTTAACTGTATGCCACCGTTGGCTTAATCACGGGAGCTCTTCATAAACCAAAGGGGACATGCGGCACTGGAGTCTACCAAAGGCAAAGAAATACATCTGAGAAATATTTTTAACTTTCTTAAAGTGGTGGCAGAGGTGTCAAGCACCCTCTGAGTTCCATAATTACCCAGCATTCCTTCTTTTTCAGCAGGGCTGTTCTATCTCTGGCAGGATGTGATGTGTGCCGTCTGAGCCGGGCAGGTAGAGTCTGGAGGACAGCACTCTCGCCATTGCTTCTGGCCCCCAGAGTGTAGAGCAACCAGAGGGGAAGGTGTTGGAGCAACCTTATGCCACTGGGTTAACACGTACAGTTGCTGAATAATGGCAGGCATTGTAAAAGCCTGCAATGAGGACCCCACAGCGGCCCAGCAGCCTGCTGCTACCAGTGGGTGGTGGCGTTATGGGCATTAGCTTTGAGAAGCTTATATAGCAGAGGGGCTAGGATAAAGGACACAAATCAGGAGAAAACTGACAAGATTAAAAAAAAATTCCGAGGCCTCGTATTTACTGTTCATCCCTCATGCTCTCTCTCTGTGTGCTGTATTGTCTGCGTTGAGTCGTGCTGAGAAGGAGCCAGGCTCAATAATAGCTCAGAGCAGCCTCGCGGCCCCAGAAACATCCTGTGCCAGTGGTGCCCACAGAGTTAGCCGAGAATAGGATTCTGATAAAGTTGTCTTTTCCCCCCTTCCCTGTGAGACCACCAATAATTATGGAAGGCGTACTACAAAAACAAAGGAGAGATGGCCTGTCAGAGTACATCCTGAACAGTGACCCCACAGAGATTTCTGCCCTGCAGCCCAAGGGGCCTGCCTGACACATGTACACAGTCCCGAGACATCCGGGGACATGTCTGAACTGCCAGCTCAAGAGAGAAGCTCAAAACTGAACTCTCCAAGTAACACTATGGAGAGGAACGATGATTTCTCTCTCTCCTTCAGCCTCAGTAACTGCCTGGCTCCTTCCAAAGACAGACTGCAGTTTACTATGCTCCAAGCCAACCCATGTCTGTGACTATCTTGCCTAGAATCACTTGGGAAGATCAGACCCTCCTGCCGTCATTCACTAATCCAGCGGCTTTCAGCCCCGGCTCTTGCTGGAATTACCAGGGAGTTTTGAAAGTGCCTCCACCCCAAACCAATTCATTCCAGAACTATTGAGGGTGGGGACCTGGCACTGATTTGTTTGGGAAACTCAACAGGTGATTGTATTGTACAGCCAGTGTGGGAACTGCCAGGCTGTCTTTCCTCCTGTTTGTGGTCCACTGGAGAGGCAGGTGGCACTTTCTCTGATGGGCCAGAGAGTAAGAACTTTAGTCTTCCCAGCCTCTTCAATACGCCACAGCTAGCTACTTTACCACTGTGGCGCAAAAGTGGCCATCCTCAACACACACGGGCAGTGTTCGGAGGAGATGATTTGCACACTCAGACTTGGGTTTCTTATAATTTTCACCGATAATAAATATTGTTTTGATTTTTAAAAGACATTTAGAAGTATAAACATAGGGGCTGGAGCGGTAGCCGAGGAGTAAAGAGCAATTGCTGTTCTGCAGAGGACAGGCCCAGCTCCCACACGAAGGCCCACAACTATTTGTAACTCTTCTTCCAGGGGATGTGACTCTCTTCTGGCCTCCGTGGGTACCAGGTATTCACAGTGTGCACACATATACATGCAAACAAAATACTCATGCAAATAAAATGGAAACAAATCTTTAAATCTTGGTTTAGGATGGAGCTAATTTTCTCACTCATGGGAATGACTGTGAGTCTCCCTATTTGTACTTCATGTAGAACACATCATTTAAATACAGGCTTTCTTTTTTTGCCACCCCTTTTATGTGAGAAAGTTTTACAATGCCCTGGATATGTAAGTATAGAAAATAGATACACAAATCAAACATTTGCTCATAGTACATCATAAATAAGTTTATTTTAGGGCTGGAGAGGTGACTCAGCTGACAGAAGTACCCTCAGACAAACCCGACAACCTGTTTACATCCCTGGGACTCAAGTGTGGAACTGAAGTTGTCTTCTGACCTCAACATGCGGCCCACACACACATACACAATAAATAAATGTCAAAAAATTTTAATTAAAAAATTTAATTAGTATAAAAATAATTTTACCTTTTCTTAAAAAACAAAAGAAAATGAGCATGCTAGTGAGGTGAATGTGGTTAGTTATTTTGACTGCAAGAATTACATTTTGGCGGAATATTTGATATTATGGACACAGAGCATCTTCAATGGTTTCCAGATCTCAGTGTTTGGATTTTACTATTGCCAATACTAAGAACAGTGGCACCTCAGAAAAGAAAAGTCTGCTGTAATCCCAAGATATATTATTCATGAAACTCAAATTAGTAACTTGGACATCAATTGTTAAAATTCAATGTTCTTAGCATCATCTGTTTTAAGTGTACTCATTTTATACTTACATGTTGAAGAATCGTGGCAGGGAATTATTAAAAATCTTTTTTAAAGTTTTATTTTGTGCAAATGGCTGCTTTGCTGCCTGTGTCTCTGCACCATGGGTATGCAGGGCCCAGGAAGAGAGAAGAGGGTTACCAAGTCCTCTGGAGCTGGAGTTACAAACACTTATTAGGTGCAGGAAAGCAAACCTGGTCGGCTGGGAAAAACAATATGTGCTGTTAACCACCACACCTTCTCCTGGCTCTTTAAAAGTATGTTTTCCATAATGAAACCACGTGGCTATTAAAAAGCAGGAAGTTTTCTGGGGATAGCAAAAGCACTCCAGCCTGCTGTGCCCGTCGTTAGCCACGGATCTCAGAGTGGCAGGTGCCGTACAGAGTCTACATGGATCCAGAACATGGAGCAACATAGATGAGCACTTCCAAAAATATCTTGAATTTACTGAATATTTAATAACATAATTTTTGATCATACACTCAGACAGAAAATCAATACTATTGTCGAGTTTTTAGGACCCTAAATTTAGCTACAAGACCCTAACTGGGGTTACAGATTATAGTTAGAGAAGCTGGGATTTAGAAGTCAACCCTGGCAAGGGGGCAGATCAGGACCACTTCTAACATTTGCAAGATCTAGGGTCAGAGTGAAAGTAAAGATCCGTGTTTCTAAATCCTAAGATAAAAACCTAGCTAGTAAAACCATTATAGATTCCACACTGTCACTCTGGAATATGCCTTCATAATGACCAGGAAGACCAGGCTCACATTTAGAATTCTTGACCCTGGAGGCTTTCACCAAAACACAGCACTGCCTCCTCTCATGCCCCACATCATTTCAAAAGTGATAATGTTGAAGTTACTTTTTAATCTCTGTGTCCTTGTGGCTAGACACAGTGCCCAGGGTATAGCAGAGGGCTGGCAGAATTTAAAAGATAGTGTAGCTTAAGTAAGACTGAAATGGAGAAGGCATTTTCTTTTCTCAGAAAAGAGAAACATCAACAAATGTTAGTGTAGTAAGTGGATCATATATGCAGTGTTCAGGATTATGTGCAAGGTACTTTCTGGCTATAAGAACTGATCTTTGTGTTTGAAGACCGTGTTGGAAGCCATATGGTTAAGAAGAAAGGGGAGCAGTATGGAAGAATTTCTGATTGTAATGGAACAATAAAATAATCAAAAAGATCTATTAGTGACTTTGAACAAGACATAAATATGAACTCACTGGAAAAGCTAAAACAGTACACTCTAACAATGTGTTGGATAACTAATAATCGAGGATCTACAATGTATCACAAATGTTCTGAGTGTTAGAAACA